CATGACCATGGTGAATATTGGCACTTAAAATGCTAAGACAACTCTGCAAACAATAATATTATAAAGCATTAAAACTAAAAACAAACTGTTTATTTCTTGGGCATGATAAAAAGCCACGCCATAAACTTCAGGCCAATTTGAATTCATGGAGAAGGCCGGTGACAGCCCTGTCCATCATTGTACACAGTGAGTTTAGGAAGATCATTGGTGCAACAGATGTCCTGTTGACCCCCATAAGCCGAACCACTAATCCTCTCTCTATCTTCAACCTCGAAAACAAATGCTTGAATCGACCATGAGGTAAAGTTTGATAATTCCTTGTTAAGACAGACTGTGACTATATTAAACCTGTTTTCACATGACAAAATCAAATCGCAATCAGCATAATTTCATTTAACGTATCAATCCGTTATTCAATTTGTTGATTGGTCCCCTACTGATTCAAGTGTGAAATCAATTATCAGCCTCCATATCCATACATATTCCAAAAGAAGAACCGATTAAATCAAGAAAATAAATACAAAAATCTCAATTAGATACAAATAAATATAATAGTAAGCAAAATAAACAACAAAATTGATGAGAATATACTGCCTTCTTTTATCAAACATGTGATGGGAGAAATTAAAATTTAAATAGATTAATAATAAATTGAAAGAGGAAGCAAAAGAAATAAGCTTCTATCTATTTGGAGAATCAATCGTAAATATATATGTGTGAGCTTTGTATTCACCAAGACTAAACAAATAAAAAAAGCCAAAACTCAACCTCATATTTTAATTAAAAAAATTTAGAAATAAAATCTGAATAAAAAAAACATACCTAACAGCAAAAAAATAAACAATATCATGGTTGTGTTGTTCGTCACATGCAAGCTCAAAAATCCCCTTCTGCAACTCTCAAACCTAAAGATAAAGATATTCCATTTTAGGTGTCAAGTTAAGCTTTTTTTTTTTTGGAAAAGGAGAAATAGTAAGACAACCCTGAAAACAAAAAGAATACAACATAAAATATGATATTCCAAACTACATTTCAGTTTCAACTTTCAATCACATGTTTCAATCACTCACCTTCGTCACTTACATATGTATGAATCAAATTAACGTTAAAAATTGCATTTGGAGGAAATTCTTTTATAGATCTATAACGGGTGTTGTTGGTTATTGATGTTGTTGAGATTCAGAGGTCTTGGTTGCGACCACCATTCTTACGCTTGAACGTCTGAAACAAATAAATTAACAGGTTAGGATGAGAATATTAGATGGTTGAGATTACAACGAAACGAAATTGGTAGCAACAAAGAGAGAAGAATGAAAAGAGATGGAGCGGCGCAGGAAGAAGATGAAATTAGGTTTTCTGATTTGTGTTTTAATAGAGTTGGGTGAATGAGTTATTTGTTGCATCTTGGGAAAAACGATTTCTTTGGTTGTATAGATTTACCGTTTCAAGAACTCAACATTTATGATGGTTGTTCAAATATAAACAAAATAAATTAATAAATCAAATAAATAAAAAATAGTGTAAAATTATGATAGATTGACATGTCAGCAAAATTAAATGCCAAATGAATATGGTAACAGCATAGTGTTGATTAGTCTATTATACCCTTGGAATAAGAAAATTATAACATCTAATCAAAAGGTTAGACTTGGAATTTCCAGGTACTTTACTTTTAATAGATTGATAATAGATAATAGATAGATAATAGATAATAGATTAATAGAATGAAAAAATAATGAATTATTTAATATAATTATCATTGTTTATAATATCTCAAATAATAAATAACAAAATATATTAATTTGAGAAAAGGGATGAATGGTTTAACTTGACTCCCCACAATTATATTTGATACTCCTCCAAAGTGTAAGAAAAAAATCAAAATAATATAAATAAATTTTTTCACAATTATTTGAAATTTGCAGTAATAAATTAAAAATTTGAAATTTCTTGGGTGATATCGGAGATTTATAAGATATATCAAAATTTTCACGAAATAATAAGAAATTTTCAGTATTTTTGTGAAATTTTTTATAGATTTTTACAAAAATTTGAAAATTTCCGGTGAATTTGTATCGGAAATTTCAAAATTTTCGATTATTTTGTTATATTTTATATCAGAAATTTTAAAATTTCTGGTAGTTCAATTTTCGTATTGGAAAATTTGAAATTTCCGATAGTTCATTATTTTGAAAATTTTCAAAAATTTCGAAATTTCTAATAGTTTATTTTTTTCTGATTTGTTTTCCCTTTTTTTCTTTGTTTCAATAGGGACCAGGGACAAAGACGGTTTTGTTGCGGGTAGAATAACTGATAGAGCGGAAACTCAGGCCAGGGCTAATGAGGCACATGCTTCTCAGTTGTTGGTTGGAGGACGTTCTCCGACCGGTTCTCACTGGAAACGATTGGCTGAGTAAACGTAGTTTTGAACCCTCCAAAAATATCGGTAAAATCTTGATCGTTAAAAAACCTGAATTAATGTACATCGAAAATTTTAGTATATACTAAAAATTTCTAATATACTACCGAAAATTGTAAAATACAAGAAAATTTAATATGTAATACCAGAAATTTCGCATGTACCTGAAATTTGTCAACCAGTACCGAAAATTCCTTCGTCAATTTTGTCCCATCTCGCCAAGGGCATTTTTGAAATAACAAAAATTAAGGGTGTCCGATCAAGTTTGAAGGATGCCAAGTTAAATCTTTAAAAGAGCGATGCGCTGACATTATAAAAAATCTTACACGATCAATCAATGACGATCATATATCCACAAAATCAGACTAAATTTTTTTAATTAATTATATGCAATGACAAAATGATATATTTCTATTACATAATAATCTAAAAACTTTTTTACAAAGTCAATAAACCCTATTAATTTATGATAATTGATCCTAAAAATATTTTTTAAATTAAACATAGAAGAATATGATAGAAGATATTAATAAAAAAAATAATTGATCTCAAAATTGTATATTTAATTATAACCAAAAATATATTAGAGATTCTTTGTTGTAATAAGATGATATTTTAAATATTTTTTATTACACATTAATCTCTTAAGTTAACTACCATATCGTTATCTTTTTTAATAGAAAAAATACGTTAATTGTAGATATAATTATTTTTTAGTGATATAAAAATAATAAAGTATAATTAAAAATACAATAATCAATATTTTTAAATATTGAAAAAAAAAATGAAAAAAAATCACTTAAAAAAACCCTTAAAGATTCGATTTATTATAATAAAATAATTTAAAGACCTCTGATATATTTTTACTTAAATTATAATTATAAAAATTTTATTATAAGAAATAGTATATTTTACAAACTAAACAAATACAAATTCTCATGCTTTCACCCAGTTTGTTGAATCCGGGTTGTGCAGACCCATTTCAGTATCTCGCTCACACTCTCTCCATTTCCGCTAGGTTACTTTGAATTCCAAACCCACTAAGGTAATTCATTCCCAAAACCCTGCTTTCTTTGCTGCTCTGTTCTCTTTTTTTTCTTTCTAATCTGATTTGCTTGTACGTTCATATTATGATTTATGGTGAATTCTGATTTGAACAAACCACATCTTTCTGCAATCTATGATCCACGAAACCGCTAAATTGTATTAATGGATGCACTTGAACTAAAACTAACTAGTAGGTTTTAAGAATAATAGTATTACTATGACATGGATTTTAGGGTTTAGGAATTTGGGTTTCCTCTGTGTTGTTGGCTTCAGGACTGTGCGTTTGATGAAGGGCGGTTTTAGTGTTTTTATGTGCTTTATTAGCAGTCTCCGTTGGAGCATGGTTTTAGAGCATGTTTGGATAAACAGCTTATAGCAAAAGTGCTTATCAAAATAAACGCTTATGAATAAGTTTGTATAAACTATTTTTATAAGTTTATAATATAAGATAAAATTAATAAAAACTGTTTTACTATATGTTATAGGTTGTTTGCATCTGCTATCTTGAAAAATTTATAAAAATAAATTAAAAAAACTTTATGAAAAATGTCATAAGCTGTTTTGGTTTAGTCTCCCAAACAGTGTCACAAAACTTATGGCAGTAGATAAGCTCAAATATGTCCATCCAAACAGACCCTTAATTGAGAATCGAAGTGCATTTGCTGCGATAAGCTTTATTTCTATAAGATGCTGTGATGCTATTCATCACATAGCTTTATCATAAGGTTGTAAGCTTGGGGTGCTAGTAGTAGTAGTAAGTATCAGGGTTGATTGGTATATCTGTTTCATACTTCTGTTTTTCATTGGTTTTTGTTGGGGTAGTGCTGCATTATGCAGCAGGTTTATTATTCATCTGGAGAAGTATATTGCTGCTTGCGCGATTTGCTTCCGCGATAGCAGCCCCTGCAAAAGGCAATACCGCAGCAGAGCACAGCTCCAGTCTGCACCACGATTCTACAATTGCACGCTAAATCTCCCCAATTCACAACATAGAGTTGCCTATTGTGAGGCCTGTTTTAGTCGATATTTTAATCAAGTGGCTTGAATATTCATATGGTTTTAGAGTTGGTCTTCACACTTGTGGCTGCCAATTTGTGCGAAGTGTTTTTGTGCTGTTGTTTTTGTATGAGTGAGGTGTTTTTGTTTGTGTATTAGTTATGTCATTAAGCCTATCTTTGCTAACACGGCGGGGCACCGCTGCAGCACGTTTAAGGCCTTTTTGACCGTGATTTTGAGAAGTTTATGTGTAGTTTCTGTCCCGCCGTGATTTTCTAGTTTTACAAACACACAAAGTGTGTATTTGGTAATATCATTATCACGTTGAAAAAAAGAACTTCTACTAGAAGCTCCAGCTAGTAGCTTCTTTATTTTCACGGTGGGAACCAATTGCACCGTGATTCCTGTGAATCAAAAGTGATGCCAAACACACTATAAGTAGTTTCTGTTCCACCGTGAAGTACCTCATTTTGGGTTGATTTTCCGATGTTAAATTATACGATTTTGAATTCGGTTGATTTGTGTTTGTATAGGAAGAATGAGGCCTACCGACTTGCTTAGGGTTCTGAACAAGCAGTTTCTTGGAATCGCCGGCGACACTGCAAATGCTGTTGCTAAGAAGCTGACATCGCCTCCTCCTATTGTGTCCCGCAAACCAGCATTTATAGACGCATTTCTGTACAAGATGAAAAAGAATCCAGAACTTCTGAAGAACAAAAGCATTTGGTCACGGAGATCCACTATCTTGCCAGAATTTGTTGATTCCCAGGTCAAGATTTACAATGGGAAAACCATGATTCGTTGTAAGATCACCGAGGGAAAAGTCGGTCATAAGTTTGGTGAGTTTGCTCTCACCAGGAAACGCAAATCTAGAGACCAACCTAATGCCAAAGTGAAACAACTCAAGAAAAAGAAGTGATTTTTTTTCTTCAGGAAATCGATTTCATGGATAGTTTATACTCTTCATTTTTGTTGTTCTAATATAACTCGGATTGATTTATCGATTTATAGTTAAGAGGATATGAATTTTCCAGTTATGTTAATGTTTAATGTCCTGCAACTGCAGGTATGTCATTTATAATTTATTTTGTTTTTGTGTATTTGGCTGTGTTCCCCTGCTTCTCTGAACTTAATTTAAATTAAGGATTCCATAGTATCAATCATGCACCTGTTTTCAGTATTGTTGCAAGATTGTTACACTACTTGATGAAATTAACACGGTAGTTGATGGAACATGCTTGTTGATTCAGTGAATTTAACAAGTATTTGTTTTTTATGATAAAGATTGAAGGGAGTATTTTTGTTATATGTACAAAAGGTTATATGGATAATTAAGGAATGTGCATAATGAACTTCTTCAACTTCGGTTTTGTATAGATATTGTTAAATTATTTTTTAGTCTAAGAATGTGTCAATCAGTTCACATGGAGGAGACAATTATTTGATTTAAAGATTTGTGATGAACAGTCAAAGACATTGTGGTTGGCGAATGTCTTTTTTTTGGAGACCTTCAATAGAGAATGACTTCTTTATCTATTAGGTTTAGGGGGTTTTGAGATTCTAATTGACAACTTCTTTATCTATTAGGCTTAGGGTGTTTTGAGAATGTAATCAACAACAAAGGATGTTTGATATGATTTAAGGTGTCCAAGGTCAAATCATGAGTGTTATGAGATCATATATTGAGAGACCATGATTATGTAGTGTGAATTTTGAATTTGACAGAGTTTTGAATGGTTTTGATGGTGTTGATCAAGTGATTCCAAACATAAGAGGGAGAAGTGAATTGTGATATTCGAAATTCAAAATTGATTTATAAAACTTTTGATTTTGAAAACGTTTATGTTAGTATAAAAACAAACAGAGGAATGACAACAAAATATTAAAAAGAAAAGAAAAACATAGTGGAAATGAAACTAAAATTAACTTTAGTTTTTACGCGATGAGCTCGAACGACCTTCAACTGCAACTTGAGCTTTTGCACAAGATCAACTCACAAATCTTCAACTACAACTTGAGCTTTTGCACAGGACCACCCAATAAACCTTCAACTATAACTTGAGTTTTTGCACACGGATCACCCCACAAACCTTCAAAGAACAAGCACAATTTTTACACGGGTTTAACTCAAAAACTTTCACCCGTGATTTTTCAGGTTTCACTTGCAACCTTCAAATATTTTACAAAGATATTAAGCAAGAGAATCACAATCTTAAATAAAACAAATTTTAGCACAACACAAATATAACACATCTCTTAGAAGGAATTTTTCACTCTTTTGATACTAAGGCACTTTTAGTGAAAAAAATATTTTTTAAAATAAAAGAAAGTAGAAAGAATAGTAGAAAGGTTTCTATTAAAAAATAGATTCTTATGAAATAAGGAAAAACTTCATTTATATAGGAAAAATCTTGATCAAAAGGAAATAATCTATGAGCTTTTTTTAATGAATTAATCGATTAACTCTAGGTGATAATTAGTTAACTGACCCAAATTAGGAAAATTTGAGTTTCAACATCACCTAATCAAATTTAAAAAAAATATAATCGATTAAGAAGTGTTATAAATAAATTTAATCATTAGTGGAAGCTCTTAATTGATTAACAATGTAAAATACTTTCTTAATTGATTAACCAAGCTTTTAACCAATTAAGCTTGTGCTTATTAAAAAAGAAAAAATGTTTGATAAGTATTTTGTGTGTATGCGTGCACAATGATTTAGACGACTTACTCTTTTTTCTTTTACATTAAATCGATCAACACTAGGAAAATCTTAAGCGGAAAACCAAGTGAGTTTTCTCACTTTCACAACTTCTAGTCTTCAAACTTAAAGATTATAACTTTAAGGATTAAAGTCTTTCTTGATTCAACAATGTCTGGGACTTTTAACTGTAACTTAATATCTTTGAATAATGAGGTTGACATCTTGTTTGGATGTCATCATCAGGTACCACTGGATAGTTGTATTCTACTTTCAATTTGACAGTTGACACCAAATTTTTTTTGAATCATTAACACCAAACATTATTTAACATATGAAATTATCATCTTTTAAACGACTTGATAGTTGTCATCATCAAAATCAAATGACAATTATACTTGCACAACACATATATCTATAAGTGGTACAATTTTGACTTTTACTAATAATTTTTCTAGCAAGGACACTGTCCCCCTAAAGTCCAATATATTTTAACGAATGTCATTTTTAATAAAAGTGTTTAAGACTTAGAAGTAGAGTCTATCATGACTACAAGAAGAAGAAAAACAATTTTTGGATATTTTATCACTTGTTCAAAATTTTAATTTGTCTATTCTTATTTATGGGATATGCCAACACATGTCGCAATTAGAGTAATGTATTTTTCTTAGATATCGCCTAATGAGTTCATTATTTTCTATTATTGAAGTTTGTCTTTTTGTTGCAAGGCGTGTCTGAATGTTTTTGAAGAGCATGTAGTTTATTCTAAGAAGCTTCTAAACTTTAAATATTGACATGATTTTGTTTGAGATTTTGTGTTGATATATTTAAGCGGACTGAATTATCCCTAAAAAAAAGAGACACTTATAAACTTTTTAACTAACCAAAAAAAAAAAAGATCATCACATAAGAAAGAAAATGTTCAAATGTATAAGGGGATAGGAGAGAAATACTCATGTGTGGATTTAAAATTGAGATTTTCTCACTTATGAAATTGATGAACTAAATATGTTACTGTAAAACAAATAACAATCAAAATCGTTTCAGATAAAGTGATGAATGAGTTCTAAATGATGAACGAGTTCTGATAATAATATATTTTCTTAATAGATTTATTATCAAAACACCAAACATTGTGATATCTCTTAGATTTAAAAATATAATTTTCAAAAAAATTGATTTTGCCATCTAAACAAAAGCTAGCGGTTAGGGTTGTGCATGGTAACTGAACCATTAAAACCAAACCATATTTTTGGTTATGGTTTAGAACCCAAATCATTATTTTAGGAAACCAGTTCATATTTTGTAAATTGAATTTAAATCGGGTTGGATCTGGTTCACAACCGGTTTTAATTAAAAGCAAAATTTTAGTCAAACAATAATAAAATCACAAACAAGTTCATGTTTTGTGAACACAACACCATAGTTTCTGTGAGCATCGTTAATTGTTGTCAATTTCGAGAACAATACGGATAAGTGCTTCTTTGAATATTACCAGTTCTGAGAACACCACCACATTGAGTGCCGTCATTGAATATAAGTCGGTGTAAAGAACACCCTGAACCATATTTTTTAGGTCCATCATTAAATTTTGCCGTCACCGATTCTATGAATGCTACATAACTCGAGTAATTACATAGACACATTGAACAAACTATTCATGCAAACAATTCACAAAAACGACGGAGAAACACATTGAAATCAATTCACTTAAAACCATTGAAAAATACAGTCAATTATTGAGATTTAGAAAGAATTGTGGTGTTTGCAATTATTAAAAAACGATTGAAAAATGTGACTGAATCAAACAGAAACTGATTTGTAAATCCATTCTCGAAATGAAGATAAATGAAACTTGCGTTGTTGCTTGAGTGAAAGAGATATAACTGGTTTGTAAACCAATTGACAACATAGTAATCGATTTATTGCTTTTTGGCTTAATTGAATACAATTTAGTTTTTTTCATATATGGATTGGTCTTTTAAAAATGATACGGTTTAGTTTTGGACCAGTTAAAGAAAACCAAATTTTTTGAACACCCCTACTAGCGGTGCGACTTAAAGTCAACATGCCTCTATTTCAACCTAATAAATAAGCATCAATTCACTCATTATTATATTAAAACAAAAAAGATAATAATGAACTTCTTACCCTCCCCACCTACCTTGCTACTAACGTGACAATAATTGAATTTTGTGTATTATTGAGCAATTTGGATAAGGAGAAGTACTTCTGTACTTTACGTGGTCAAATTGAACTATTGAAGCATGTTCATACAGTCATACTATTGGGTTCCGTACCTATATTACAACTCATGACTTCAAGGGTTTAACTTCATTCGTTTTATAGTGTCATGGCTAAGCGTGCTTAGGGATTAATTAGTGTAAATTTAAATTTTTAAAATAACTTTGTTTGCAAGTTTCATATTTGAATAATAGTCAAAATAATGTTTCCATTAAAAGGATCGAATTGCTAAATTTTCGTGGTAATATACTCTGAAAAAGATGTAAAAGTCTAACTAAAAAAATAAAATAATCAACTCCAAATTAATTAGATGTTATGTTTTGAAATATTATCCACACACATATAGTTGCCTTCGTTTCTAAACACAGTGTACATAATAACAACGAGAGATAAATATAATAAATGAAAATTTCTAAAGCACATAAACAATATAATTCTTCATTTTATGTTTATTGTAATGAGAATAAATCTATTAAAAAAAGTTAAGTAAATATATTAATACATAAGTATAGTATAGGCAAGGGTGGTCCATCATCATCACCAAAAGCAGTGAAAAGTCATGCATAAAGGCAGACACATGCTTACGCTACATGATGTCTCACACACACACACACATATATATATATATATATATATATATATATATATATATATATATATATATATATATATATATATATATATATATATATATATATATATATATTCGAATTTTTTATTATTCTACTCTGTTTTTACACAATAATTCTCACTATACCATCTTCTTCACTCAATAATCTCAAACTATCATATTTTCAAATAAATTTTATTGTTGGCACAAAGCATCCACCAAGTGAGTGGACAGAATAGAACAAAATATTTCATATCCACAAAAACAATAGACGGAACTATTGGAAATTGAAGAGGGTCCGCCCAATCCAATAGACGGAAGTGTTGTAACGTGAATTTTTTTTTCTTTTTAAAATTAATTTATT